TATTTTTTATTTTATTTATTTTACTTTATTTTTTATTTTATTTATTTTACTTTATTTTTTATTTTATTTTTTATTTTATTTTATTTATTCATTATTTTATTTTATTTTATTTATTATCTTTACTTTACTTTACTTTACTTTACTTTACTTTACTTTATTTTTTATTTTTCTGGAATAAAATTTCCAGCAAAAAATGCTCCATAGTGAACAACTCATACAATACAACAACTGTGTTGTATTCATGAACATTGGGTTTGCATAATGACCCCTATAAAAAAAAGGGTCATAAAATCAGCCACGGTCAGATGGGGACCCTCTTAAGAATGGCCATGAATTAACGACTGTACGGGGAGTCCTCGATTTATTTTACAGTTCATTTTAGTGACTGTTTCAAAGTTACGACGGCACTGAAAAAAGTGAGTTAGGACCGTTTTTCACACTTAACGATCACTGAGGCATCCCATGGTCGAAAATGATCAAAATTCAGGCGGTTGGCAACTGACTCATATTTATGACGGCTGCAGTGTGATCCCCTTTTGCGACCTTCTGACAAGGAAAGTCAATGGGGAAGCCAGGCTCACTTAACAACCATGTGACTTACTTAACAACTGCAGCAATTAACGTAACAACTGTGGCAGGGAAGGTCGTAGCATGGGGCAAAACTCACTTAGGAAATTTTCACTGGGCAACCTATTTTTTTGGTCTCAATTGTGGTCATAAGTTGAGGACAACCTGTATAGTTTAAAAACAGGGAAGAATCTATTTTCTGAACTAGGATCTTCAGTGAGTTCTGTTTATCTCCGGCTGTGTGATCGGCTTCTTTGCTCCTTCTCTCTCTTTCTCCCCGTTGTCTCTTTCTCTCCTCCTTACTCTCTCTCTCTGTTTCTTGTTCTTTTTCCCTTTCTCTCTCTCTCTGTCTCATTTTCTCTCTCTCTCATTTTCTTTGTCTTTCTTTTCTCTCTCTCTTGCTCTTTCTCTATTTCTCTCTCATTTTCTCTCCCTTTGTCTCTCTCATTTTCTCTTTCTCTTCTCTCATTTGTCTTTCTCTTCTCTCTCTTTCTCTCTCATTTTCTCTTTGTCTCTCTTCCTCTCTCTTTCTCTCATTTTGTCTTTTTCTTCTCTCTTTCATTCTCTCTCATTTTTCTCTCTCTCTCTCTCTCTCTCTTTCTCTGTCTCATTTTCTTTCTCTCTCATTTCTCTCTTTCTGTCATTTTTTCTGTCTTTTTCTTCCTTCCTTTCT